ACCAATAACATATTATATGTCAATTAGACTTCAATTAAAAACTGGGATCTCAAATAGAGGTTGCACCTTTATTAATGTAGATAAAGGTATCTTTTTGCCAAGCAGTATAGATTACTTCATGATTCTAGCAAGTATACATTTCATGAGCTTTGTGAAATATTTGGAAATCTTAAAAACTCCTTCCAAAGTATCCTCAGGCATAAACGTGGCATTTTGTTAATCAAAATAACAATTGATTTTAATTTTTGAAAATTTAAACTAAAGACAGTTCTCCTAGCACCTTTTTTCCTGACTCGTTTTACATTCTGTACCTCTGGACATACATAATTTGTGACAGATCAGGGAATTAGATGATCAGCATTTCACGAGTGAGATGCCAAGTGGGATATGTTACTTTAAAAATCTACTTGTAACACTCATCTTTCTCATAAACCTACATAGCCTGAAACATTTAATCAAGTGCTTTCTATAATAAATAGACAAGTGTGGAAGTATAATTAATCAACAAACACATGGCAGTTTAAAAGACACTGACCTGGGCTAGAGAGGTTATGGACGATTGAGTAGATGGGGACTTAATTTTATGATGTGCATGGAGAATCATTTACTTATAAGCAAAGAATGACACTGTTACCAAATGGTAAATACTAAACTAATATTAAGGATAGCATAAGATTTCATAATTTGATGAATTTTATATATAGTAAATATTTATATATTCATATATTAAAATTTATATAATATTGAATATTTTATATGTAATTTACCATAACATGCAGAGTATTAAAATTTGCATTCTTATTTATTAATATTGGCAATTCACTGCCATAGTACTAAAATGCTTTCTCAAAACATTCATTATTCTAAAATATTTTACTAATCTGTCTCTTATGTTTCTCCTTTTCAATAACAGCTGACTTTTTATGAAATCTTGTCAGTGTCACATATAGAAAATGAATGTTATTTTCTCCTTTTCTGTGTTTTGGGCATATTTCTTTCTGTTCATGCAGATAATCTGACTTATACAATCTGTTATTCTAACAATTAAATCAGACAAATAAAAAGTTATTGTTTTCAAAGAGATCTGAATAAAAATAGAAAGATGAATTAGAATTTCCATCTATAAAAAAAAAGAGAGTGGCATTTTCCACAGCTCAGGTACAAAGTATGCTGTGTTCTGTTGTATGAAATCTGCAGGAATTTGTGGTTCACAGTGAGAAGTCTACATTTTCTTAAATTTCAAGTTTAAAGAAAGTATTTTTCTCCATAGTGGAATTAAAATGTATGATTAACGTCATATAAAGAAGTATATGTTGCTGTGACATACTTTATAGGCTGAGTCCTTCTAAATTGTATACCACAGGGTTATGGAGCTAAAACATAGGCCTAGAAATATAATTGTCCCTACTTAATTTTTGCTCTTTGTACTATATGTTTAACACTTCCTTCTAATTTCTTATCAAACTTACTTTTCCACAAATTTATGTTCCACTAGTTCTAGGCTAATCACCTTCTTCTTTTTCCAGTTCTTTCTATTTTCCCCCACTTACATCTATGAGAATTCCCACATCATGCATTTTGCACATGCGCATCTACCCAGAGCCATGAAGACCACACCCGATTTGTTCAATTTGCTCTAATTTTAGTGAAAACTGTTGCTAAATGCCCCCTCTCCATTCTCCACTCCACATTTCATCTCTGGGGAATGTTCTGCATCCCTAAAGGAACATTCAGCATTATCATCAGTTAGTTTTAATTACCTTCACACACTTGAATGGTGGTATGCTAGATGCTAAAAGGAATAATTTAAATATATATGGTCTCTGCTTTCTAGCCACTTACATTTAAACAAAGATAATAAAATGAGTTGCTATTTTTAATTGGATACCAAGTGTAACATTTTTCATGTAAAACTTTCTAAAAAATGATACAATTCATTTCCCTTCCTCCATAAAGTTCCTTTAATAATGCACAGTGAGATATAGTGAACAGCAAAAATTCCCAGGAATTATATATAGAATAGCTCTATTTTAGACTCCCAGGAAAGTGACAATAACTTTGGCAGCTAACAATTGGCATCTGACAGCTAAGCTGAAATATCCTCAACAAACATAAACAATTCTCTAGAATCTAAACAATAATCAGCTAGAGCCACTCTGCGACTATGGGGTGGAGGAAGACAAAAGCAAGTTTATTCCATGTCCAGGTGTGAAACAAGACAGAGATCAGGACACTCACCAACCACAAAAATCAGCACGATTAACTGCTGCATCTTTATAATAGCGTATCTAACTCTGCATTAATGATTTTGCTTTCTTGGTAAAAGTTACCACTGTACCTCATTCTTGATTTGTCCCCAATACTGACAGTATTTAATCCAGAACCCTCTTAAAATATTCAGGGCAAACCCAAATCCTGTCAAAACCCTCTTTATACTCTTTCTTATCAATACACAGAGATTCACCTGATATGCTTCTTCTTTGCCATAGCAAACTAAATATATCTGATTTTGCTTGACTATTGGTGGATTTCTGGGGAGTAATCATTAGCTGGTGACCTTTAATATTTCTGACTTATTTTTTTTTCTTTTATTATATGTTGAAAATTACAGTTAAATTAGTAGTTAATTACTATTTTAAATTTTCCTCTATTTTATATATGTGAAAAAGTTTAAGCCAAATGTTGATAACCTGGGTCCTCTCAATATAACAAACTATACAACTTTCCACATTTTGAAAGAACGTTGATAAAATAAGAAATAGAAAGGGGAAATTGCTATAGGTTGAATGTCTGTGTCCCTCTAAAATTCATATGTTGAAACCTAATTCTCAATGTGATGTATTAGCAGGTAGGGCTTTGGTAAGGTGATGACTGACTGGGTTTAGTGCCCTTGCAAAAGAGCCCCAGAGAGCTCCTTGGCCCCTTCTGCCATGTGCAGACATGGAGGGGAGACAGCCATCTATAAACCAGGATGCAGTCAATTACCTGCTCCTTGAGCTTGAACTTCCAGCCTCCAAAACTGTGAGAAATAAACATCTTTGGTTTATAAGCCACCCAGGCTATGGGTATTTGTGGTATAGCAGGTTAAACTAAGGTAAGTGGCATTCACTGAAATTTTATCAAATGCCATAAAAAATAGTCTACTTTGATCTTTGTAGAACTAATTGTCGAATTTATAATCAAAGCTCAAACAGTTTTAGTAATCGTACCAAGGTGTCATTGCAAATAAATGCTGAAATTTGAAGATAATCTCAGTATTGGGCCTAAAATATGCTTGTTGCAGATTTGTTTCAATGAGAACAAGAGGAAAATTAATGAAACTAACTTAATATAATCAAAAGTACTTAAAATATTACAGTAATTTCACTTACTATTAAACTAAGAATAATTAAAACAGTGAGCAATAATTAAAAATCATAATCATATTGACATTTCTCTATCAAAAATTGAAAAAATAAAGAAGTTTGGTCTTCCTGGTACTTCTCTGATCTGATCTCATAAATACTCTCCAGTTTTCCTTCTACTCTGGTCTTTCTAATATTTATTTAAAAATATATAATATTTGTATTTTACATATAAATATATTTATTATAATACAATATGTAATATAATTTAATATGATATGTAATACAATATATGTTTATAAAGACATTATATATATGCTATATACTAACACATGTACACTTTCCTTGAACTCCATTCCCGTTTCTCAAATTGTACTCCTTATCACTTCTGCTTTATTATTTCTTTGTACATAGTCTGCTATATGTTGGTTTTATTTATTTTGCTATGCTGTCATTCCTACCTAGAATGGATGCTGTAGGAGAACTGGAGTCTGTCACTAGTGGTGGTGGTGGTAATCTTGACACTAGGCTAATCTCAATTTGTTTTGTTATTTTTTGTCACTTATATAATGCCAGTGCCTAAAATTATGATTGTTTTATAGTAGGTACTTAATAGGTTCTTGTAATAAATAAAAACAAAATGCAGTGAGGCTATTAAAATACCAGTACTTAGATTTAAATTTTTAGGATTTAATGTAATTTTATAACACAAATTCTAAACTCAAACTATAACTTTATCACAAACAATTTTCCAATATTTAAAAAAAATGAAGTGATACAATTCAGAAATGTAATTCTTGGACTCTACTTTTTTCAACTTTATCTTATATATTTCAGTTGATTTATTTTTATTGGATAAATATTTCTAGATCACCTCTTATATTCCAGGGCCTTGCTAACTAATAAAAACGTCATGATTACGAGTCTACCATGTGCTAGATGTATGAACTTGGCCAAATGACTCAATCACTATAATCTTCAATGTCTTCATCCATAAACTATGACTAAAGAGGAAAACTACCCATCAGGTGTTTGTGCTGTTGCCCTAACATGAGATGTAAGATGAAATATTGCCAGCAAAACATTTAGCACTGCCATTGGCCCGCTAGAGTCATCCAATTAATGTTGTTCCTATCACTTGTCAGTAATGAAGTTGATGATGAAAACATAATGGATATACCGCTATATTTATAAAGATTTAGGATATCTCATATAGAAGGTAAAAAACTGTCTAATTTTAAAGGCACAGATGGGCAGATAGGACAACACATTCATGCATAACAAAGTTTCTTTCATACGGTAAGGTCCATCAAGGCACTCTCAGATTCCCCACCCTTAGGGACTCTGTCAAAATAACTACTCTTCCTACCCTACCCATATGCATATACATGTATCATGTCACCATGTGGAACACATTTAGAAGTTTTAACTTTTAATAAGGATATTTCCTTTATTTATCTTCCTTGTCAAGAATGATATTCAGTCAATAACTACTTTCCTCTGAATGTGATTAATACCAGGGAGAGTAGTTATACTTCATTTTGCTGTTTTTGCTGCACTGAGGTGATACTTTAGGATGTTTTGAAATGATTTTAAATGTAGGTGAAGAGATTTGCTCCTGCTGTGATAACTAGGAAGGGAGTAGCATTTACTTACAGTGTATTTCTAGCACCTGCATGGCCACCTGAGGGGTGGCATTGAGGGATTCATGGTCTACTCTGCAGATCACAGTCACGCCATCATCGCTCCGGTCCACTCGGAAATCCAGTGTGCTGCTGACAGTGAAAGTCTTGCGATTTGCATCTTCTTCTTTTAAATATTTTACATCTAAAAGTAAAATATAAATTTTAAAATTCTGTGACATTATTTTTCAAAATGTAATAGATTTCACTTACTCAAGACACAACTGGAAGCACCATCTCCCCCTCTTTTCCAATTTTTAAAAAGCAAATATTTGTTAATTTAATCCATTTTGGTTTGAGTAAATAAAAATATAACTACTTCAGAAATAAAATTTAAAAGGTAGCAATATAAATAAAATAAAAGGGTAGGGCACAGAACTATAATCCTTTAGTGCAAGGGTGTTTTTTGTTTTTAATATTCCATTTGAGAAATCATGCCATTTTACAATATTAACCTCCTTTATTTAGATTTAAATTTTACATAAGAATAATCTTAATTCTCTGAGCTACATGTACAGTTGGGAAGGTCAAATTCACAACATCTGGTTAGGTCTAAAGAAAGTACAATGTATTTGAGTTATGATTTCAACATGAACAATGCAAGACGAACATAATTGCTAAAGCATACCTACAATGAGATAGTTATCTTTTATAAAGAAAAAGTAGGGGACATGGATACAAAAATTCTCAATAAAATACTAGCAAATAGAATCCAACAGTATATTAAAAGAATCATTCAGCACAATCAAGTAGCATTTATTACTGGACTGCAAGAGTTGTTTAATATTCACAAATAAATCCACGTGAACATCACATTAATAAGAGAAAGGATAAGAATCATATGGCCCCATCAATAGATGCAGAAAAACCATTTGACAAAGTACAGCATCCATTTTTGATAAATCCCCCAACAAAGTAGGGTGAGAATGAACCTACCTCAATATCATAAAGGCCAAATACAAAAGACAAGCAGCAAATATAATCCTCAATGGAGAAAAACAAAACTACTATTCTATGGTCAGGAACAAGACAGGGATGTCCACTCTCACCACTGTTATTTAACATAGTACTGGAAATCCTAGCCTCCATGATCAGATAACAAAAACAAATAAAAGGCATCCAAGTCAGCAACAGATGATATGATACTCTGTGTAGAAAATCTGAGGGACTCCACCAAAAAATTTCTAGAACTGATACATGAATTCAGTAAAGTTGCAGGATACAAAATCAACATAGAGAAATCTGTGGCATTTCTATACACCAATAATGAAGGAGCAGAAAGAGAAATCAAGGAAATGATCCAATTTATAATTGCACCAAAAACCATAAGATATCTAGGAATAAACAAAAGAAGTAAGTGTTATATACTTTTAAGAGTAAAGGAATTGAAGATGACACAAAGAAATGGAAAAACATTCCATGATCATTGGAAGAATAAATATTGCTAAAAGCAATTTAAATATTTAATACAATCCCTATTAAAATATCAACAGTGTTTTTCAGAGATTGAACAAACAATCCTAAAATTTGTATGAAGCCACAAAAGACACTAAATAGCAAATATAATCTTGAAAAAGAAAACCAAAGCTGAACATATCACAAATCTGGATCTCAAGTCATAACACAAGGTTATCTTTAGTCCAAGACAGTATGGTTCTGGCACAAAAACAGACACATTGATCAATAGAACAGAATAGAAAACCCAGAAATGGACCCACAACTATATGGTCAATTAATATTTGACAAAGCAGGAAAGAATATCCAATGGAAAAAAAGACAGTCTCCTCAACAAATGGTGTTGGGAAAACTGGACTGCGCAACGTGCAGAAGGATGAAACTGGACCACTTTCTTACACCACACACAAAAATAAATTCAAAATGGATGGAAGACCTAAATGTGAGACAGGAAACCATCAGAGTCTTAGAAGAGAACACAGGCAGCAACCTCTTTGACCACGGCCATTGCAACTTCTTAGTAAACATGTCACCAGAGGCAAGGGGAGAAAAAAAGCAAAAATAAACTCTTAGGACTTCATGAAGATAAAAAGCTTCTGCACAATGAAAACAATCAATAGGATCCCTGGGTGGCGCAGCGGTTTGGCGCCTGCCTTTGGCCCAGGGCGCGATCCTGGAGACCCGGGATCGAATCCCACGTCGGGCTCCCGGTGCATGGAGCCTGCTTCTCTCTCTGCCTGTGTCTCTGCCTCTCTCTCTCTCTCTCTCTGTGTGTGACTATCATAAATAAAATAATAAAATAAAAAAAAGGAAACAATCAATAAAGCTAAAGGGCAGCTTACAGAATAGGAGAAGATATTTGCAAATGACATATCTAGTAAAGGGTTAGCATCCAAAATCTATAAAGAACATATCAAACTCAACACCCAAAAAACAAATAATACAATTAACAAATGGGCAGAAGACATGAATAGACACTTTTCCAAAGTAGACATCCAGAAGGCTAACAGAAACATGAAAAGATGCTCAACATCACTGACCATCAGGGAAATGCAAATCAAAACCACAATGAGACACCACCTCACACATCTCAGAATAGCTAAAATTAACAACACAGGAAACAACAGATGTTAGCAAGGATGTGGAGAAAGGGGAACCCTCTTATACTATTGGTGAGAGTGCAAACTGGTGCAGCCACCCTGGAAAACAGTGTAGAGGTTGATCAAAAAGTTAAAACTAGAGCTACCCTATGATTCAGCAATTATACAATTAGGTATTTACCTAAAGGATACAAAAATTCTGAGTCAAATGGACACATGCACGCTTGATGTTTATAGCAGCACTATCAACAATACTCAAGTTATGGGAATAGCCTAAATTTCCATCAACCAATGAAGGGATAAAGAAAATATGAAAAATTACTCAGTCATCAAAAAGAATGAAATTTTGCTATTTTCAATGACATGGATGGGGCTAGAGTGTATTATGCTAAGCACCATAGGTCAGTCAGAGAAAGACAAATACCATATGATTTCATGCATGTGTGAAATTTAAGAAACAAAACAGATGTGCGTAGGGGAAAAAAGAGGGAGGTAAACCATAAAACAGAGAGTTCTCTTAATTAGAGAGAACAAACTGAGGGTTGCTGGAGAGGAGGTGAGCAGGGATGAGTTAAATGGGTAATGGAGAATAAGGAGGGCACTTGTTAGGATGAGCCCTGGGTATTGTAGGGAAGTGATGAATCACTAAATTCTATTCCTGAAACTAATATTACACTATATGTTAACTAGCTGGAATTTAAATAAAAATTTGAAACAAAAAAAAGAAGGAAAATTTTACTTGAAAGTAAAAAGACAGTCATCTGAATAATTTGAATATTTAAAAGTATACATTTGCAGTGAAATTTATAGTGAGATAAATACTCTTCCTTTGGCTGAAGAATTTATTTCAGCATGAATGAAACAAATCTTGAGGAATACTTTCCTCAAGATGTGAATTCATTTACTGATGTTTAAATTTGTTGCGTATGATTTTTTTTAAACTTACTTATTCATGAGAGACACGAAGAGAGAGAGGCAGAGACAGGCAGAGGGAGAAGCAGACTCCACGTGGGGAGCCTGATGCAGAACTCGATCCCAGGACCCCGGGATCACGCTCTGAGCCAAAGGCAGATGCTCAACCACTGAGCCACCCAGGGATCCCTATTGCATATGATTAAGATTTCTTATGAAATGGTGCACTCAGGGATTATTTGTTCTCTATGGAAAAGAGGCTTAATAATATCTTCATTTAATTTAAAATTTCTTAAGTCTAAACTAGTTGATAAGAGGAGGTTAATTTTAATGGATTAAAAATCAAAATGATAGGCTAAAGTTATTATAACATGATCCTATATGTAGTTTCAGGAAAAAGCTGTTCCATTTTCTTACTCTTTCATGTCTAATGAACAACGATATTTTTAGGGAAAGAGTTATGTTCAATAAAGTACATAAAATATTTGATTTTACTATTTAATAAATAATTTTAAAAACATTTAAGAACTTATTAATGACAACAAAGTAATGTAAGCTGAGCTAATCCATTGTGTTCTATCAAAGATTTGACCTTGAAAGTAATTTTGAATTTGAGGTATTTGTGGGTAGATATTTGCATGTTGCACTGAGTTTTACTTATTTTCAAAGAAGTCTGACTTTATCTTATTGATTTCAAAAATAAAATAATTATTCATAAAGAATAAAATTAGGTAAATGTTCTATGTCTTGCTCTTGAAAATAAATGCTCATGATTGTGTTCACAGATTAGGAAAAAAGTCACCTAATTAAGATTTCACCATTAAAAAATTTTACATAATTTAGGAAGTTTTGAGAGTAAGAAAAATTTCTAACATTTGACATATAGGGAAGGTACATAAAATGCTCAATTTATCTTATAACTATAAATTAATCATACAGGATACAAAGTTCTTCATAAATTATCTTGCAAAATAACTCATTTTTGCTAACCAGTCATTTCTGTGATTTTTCCATTTAAATATTAGTTTAAATCTCAATTAAAAACATATTAAAATATGCAATTATTCCCTTTTAGTCAAAATATGTCAGGATAACACAGATGCATTTATAGTCTTTTGTTATATTAAACAATATATATATTTATTTATGTGAACATATATATATATGAGCCCTTTTACCTTTTAGTGTTTTATAGATTTATACAAAATTTTGCCTCATTTTTATATTAATTTGTATAAATCCACGTCCAATGTTTTCTGGTTTGTAGCTCTAAGCAGTGGCAGTATAAGAAAATTTAGATCTCTTAGTAAACCACTATTATAATTATGTTTCACAATATATGAAAGACAAAACATTGCTGCTAATTGTTTAATTTTAATAACAGCTGTATTTTAAGAACCCACACATCTGCTTCCTTTAGCCAATTCCTTTATAAAAGTATCATTTAATGTAATATTAAATGGACACATAAAATCTAATAGCATCGCATAAAATTTTAATAACCATCATTCAAATAGAATACACAAAAGTATAATTTGTTGCTTTTAATATTAGCTTATGTGACACCTATGGTTCCTAAAAGCAATAAAATGAACAGAAAAAAACATCAATAAGAGCCAATCATTTTATCTTTTCTGTTTCATGCTGATCTCCTCCTTACCACCCTCACCCCCTGCCC